TGCCATGTTGGCTTTCCTTAGGGGTTCAGTTTTTCTCTATTAAATGTTGAAGAAGTTTGAAAGACCGTTTTTCAAAACAGTTGACTCAATCTTTAGACTTCTTTCTGGAAAACATTTTTTATTCAAACATTGCTTTACGTTTACTTTTATAACCTTTGCGTGTTTGAATAAAGAATTTATATAGTTGATATCTATTCAACATTTTACATCATTACAGAGGTCTTGGATATCTTCACCTGTAAATGTGACAAATACGAAAATGCAAGGCGAAATTTGTAAACTTTTTCCTGACATTTTGTCAATGACCCCGCATCTGATACAAGAACGCTGGCTAATTACCTTTTGAGTGATTGCACCATGTAAATGCTTTTATAGTGTATTTGAAGTAAGCATTGTGTGGTGTAAGCACAGATGTGACATTGATCAGAAATTACAATTTGGTTCTCTGAGCATTCTTAAAGGAAAATGGTAGGCTTTTCTGCAATCTGTCACAAATGTATATTAACTGTAATTGTGTCTTTTAAAATATGATTATGTGTATTAATATGGTTCAATAGTTTAAAAACCTAGTTTATTTCAAATACAAATAATGACTTACACGATACAAATAAGATGTGCAAAAGGGTTGGGTCTAAAAGTATAGCCTATTTAAGCATTTTCAGTGGTAGCGTACAATTATTAAAGTGAATTGAAATACTATACAACATAAAGAAATAGAGAAGAAAATTCCCTTACATAGATTTCTTAAATATCTGTAATATGCAGCATAACTTGTCAACTATCCGTTTAATAAAACTACTCTTTCTCGAGACCATTAATACAATTTAAAGCATTAAAATTCAAATTTGTTTTTCAACAAATCAATTATTCTATACGCGACTTATTTCCAGTAAATTAAATGCATTTAAGTTTGTTATATTTTATTCTTCCATTGTATACAGAAGAAATATAACTTATTATTTTTATTTATTTTTATGTCAAAAACAAAATATCTACAAATTGAACGACTCGGGCGTTTGGGAAGATTGTTACCTTGCAGATTTATTCCTGCTTTTGAGTTTGTTTGTTGTTGTTTTTCTCAAATATCAGAAACGAAAATCGATTGTTATATGATTCAAAGGATTTCCGTTTTTATTATAGATGTTTATATTTTTAACTAACCCGGTTAATAATATAACCATATAATATATGTTTAACGAAATATATCTTCTTATATATTGAAATTTAATTAAGAAGCCAAAAACAAGAAAACCCCGACAATTTGTATTCCAGCATCTTAAAATTGTTACTCATTAGCAAGTATTGGTGTTAAATGAAATGTAATCAAAGCATTGCTGATTTAATCTCACCTCGTTCTCGGTGTTGCAAGTACTCCATGATACGTTAACAAAGTCCTCGACAATGATTTGTCACTTTAATTATTATGCAATAAGATTATACAATGTACATGTAGTTACAACCACAACAAATAATAAACGATGTAAAATGACTGATTAACAAAGAAAGTTTTCATTAAAATTCTACAAGTTCAACAGAAACTTTTGAGCTCTATTGGAAAACTGACACAGAGATGCGGATTGTAGGAATACGTTTCAATAACTGTGTCAATAGCTCAAAGTGTATTAAATTACATGAGGAAATATTATTACACACACAAGGAAATAGTACCCTTGTCTAAGTGAAATATCAAAAACCCATCGCTACATTTCGTTTCTCGGATTTGTTCATACACAACCAAATAACAAAATATATATACACATATTAAACAAACCTCAAAATAAGATGCAAGATGCAGTGCGCGTGTTATCAAAACTATTTTTATTTGTAATTACGTGATATAAAATTTACACATAATCATATCATCATAATTAAGTTTTATTGATACGAACAAAATTGAACTGAAAAATATTCAACCAGATCAAATCATTAACTTGATTTGTATATCAGGAAGGTGTTGGTTTACATGTTTTGAAATTATTGTCACCTCGAGTTCATATAAAATGTCCGCCTCCTTATATCCATAAGAAGGGCATAGAATTAATATTACAGGGGTCGCTGATTCGATATATTTCTACGTGACAACTGATCTCGAATTTGAGTCTAATGGTCATTTGTCTCTCGCAGTCGTAACAAAAATCATGTCGGATTGTTAAATGCAGTCTGTCACTTGCGGATTATCAAAACTGGTCATTACTGGTTAGTTATCCAGAAAACTCCGTTATGTAGACAGACCGTAAGAGTGGCCAAACATGTGTTGAAACCGGCGTAAATTGGTATTTTAAAGCCTCTGAAATAAACTTTTGCTCCAACCACTATGCCCGAGGCTTTATTAACGTGATTATGCATGTAAATGACATCTGTTTTAAAGACACCGCGTAAATTGACCTTTAATTAAACTTAAAACAGTTATCTATGATAAATTAATTGTCACTGTATATTAGCCGAACTACAACATTCATGAGTCTTTGGGGACAGCATTTATATTCAGTGACAGAATACAAAAAATAGCTTTGGGTTTATATTATTTTTGCTTAGCTATTCATTTACATTGTAAGGAAGGTTCTACAATAGCAGCGATGTACAATCAATTGTCTCCTGCTCTCATTTAATTGACTAGAACTATATCGAATATCAATCAACTTCAATGTTTGAATTACATAATTCAACCTACTAGTAGTTTAATCTTTTCACGGTCAAGTATCAGGCACGCGGATATTGCCCACAAGGAACACAACCTTTTAATTGGTCTAAAATAATTCTTAAATTTCTCAACCAGTAGATTTATCGTTACCATTTCAAACCCTCAATAAGTAAATCTTTTTCATCTGAACTGAAATCAACTTGGGACAGAGCAAACGTCATGACATCAACATTTGTCTTGATAAATCACCATCTCGAACTCTCCTTAACATGATCAAGTTATTCTTCTTAGATGTAGAATTGGACATACTAGAGCCGCATATACTTACCTTTTAACAGGAGACGATGGTCTATTTTGTTACCCTTGCAATGAATGTTTTTCCATCAAACCCTGTCTTCTTGACTGACAAGATCTTGCAAATGTTTGTTATATATAATATCAAGTCAATTCACTAACTCACTAACCTGATCGATTAATTAAAGGAAGTAATCTTGTATTCTAAGCTTTATTTAATGCACTTGTACAATTTCTCTTTAGGACTTTTTATTTAAGTATCCTTTGTGGAATGACCAGTCATGTGTTAGCGTCACCGTTAAACCCAAACAAACATGCCTTTCCATGAAAAATGATTCACTTGGGACACAAAATATTGGTTAAATATATATCAAAACAATTAATTACTGATAGGAAGGTTTTGCGTTTGTGGTAAGTCGAGTAAAAATGTAACAAATATTAATGATTAAATGATTATTTTCTAGCAACGAACCTGGCACAACTCTATATTATTATTTTGATTCTGAAAAGGCATATTGAGTTATAGTAAAGAACTTACTTTGCTTTACAGATGAGTTACATTATTTCAGATTTCATTGAGAAAAATATACTAAGATTTTTGAAAAAGGTACAAATATTCAAGATTTAATTATTAATTTATGTTATGTGCGATTTATCACTGATATTGCAGTGTAAATCACGCTGGAATGAGTATTTGGGCATATTTTGACTTTTTGGGGGCGGGGGGGGGCAATCGACTTTGGTTGTGATCGCTGTTTGCAAAGTGAAAATAACTTTAATTGTTCACTTCACAATACATAACTAGAAAAATTCAAACGTTTCATAAAAATGAGCATTAATCTGTCTACATGATGATCTAATGACACGTTTTTCTGTTTTGAAACGGCAAAACTCATGCGTAATTATGCTTCATTTAGATGGTGAAATATTTTAAGATTTTGTTAAATAAAGCTACTTTATCGCTGTGTGTCACTATTGACCGCCTTTTCAAGTATCAAAGTTACTGATTATCTACTAGAATTGTTACTCAGCAAGGACAATTGTGGTCACTGGCCTGCGAAAACTGTGAAATGGAATACGATATTAGATTTAGAACACATAATAGGGATATTTCTCTACGAAGATTCTTTACTATCAAATTTGCAGTAAAAATCTCAATAATGTCACTTTACATCTTCTTGGTGAAGTAAGAATGTACAAAAAGGTGGTATTTTTTTCGAACAAATACATTATACGGAATAAAATTTGTTGACGAATAACTGTGAAATAAACAAAAGAGATCAAAACAATCACCTATCAATAATAAACTGCAAGTATAAATTGGAAAAAGTAACATAACATGACAGTAACTTTGGGTTTAATCTATCTTCATCTCGTTGTATGACAATTTTATTTTCATTTATCACTGTGTACTTTTATTTTCAAGCAATATAGTAAAATATTTGTGTTGAAAAGATAAGGTCGCTGGTTTGATCCTTTGCGAGGCGTAAATTGTTCGTGAAAAATTGATTGCAAACATTGAGCCTCGAGGCCATTTGTCCCTAAACGCTGATTCAGAAATTATATAAGATAAGTAGTTTGCCATTTCCAGCTAAGTATATTTGTCAATTTTTATGATAAACTATTTGCATCCTTGCAGTTAATTGTTTGAAAGAAACCTACAAAGAATAATTTCGTCGATTTAAGTTATTGAAATTCATGTTGTGAATTTATCTGTATACCTAGATAGACTTGAATAGATATGAAAAAATGTTTCGATATCTCTGTCTACATTTGCCTCTATTTTTTTCGAAAAAAACCGTAATAATATGGGAATGAGAAGGTAAATGCATTCAGAAAACTTAGGCGATTAATACCGGTACAGTGTATAATGTTAAAATAAATTTAAAGCATTTCAAAATATGTATGTACCGGAGATCAGCAAATAGACCTCTGACTGGATTTTGTAAAACCGTTTTCTGCTATCCGTAGGGATATGGTTTGAGTCAATATAATCACTCAAATAGACTGACATGCGATAATTATTTAAAATGGGGAATAAATTCTCTAAACAATACACTTAAAATAATTTCACAAATTTTATTGTTTCATTATCCGTTTACATCAAAGTATCAAAAATAGCTAACACAACGTGTGCATTTTATTTCTTTCAACTATATACCTATTTTAGAAAACTGTTTTTTTTAATAAGTATTTTAAGACTATTCATTAAGGTCATAAATCATTCTTCTTTTTCGTTCAAGCATTCGTGAAAATTAATAAATTGCAACCATACAATTGCCAAAGGAGAACAATAATTAGTGTACAAATCGTTTATCTTATAAAACAAATGCAACATATACACATGTCAATTAAACAATATCGTACATTGGATCTAAATTTGCTCATATTAATACACTGATAAAATTGTTTAATGACAATCATTAGAGCTATAAAAAACCAAAGTATGTATCTAATGCAGTCTGAATAATATGAGATAACACATAAACATATACACAGTTTACGATAAAAACGAGTAATTCATTTGTAACAGAGTTGTAATGGTTGTAACAGAGCACTATTAGGACCACAATTTCGTACATTAATTTTAAACAGAAACATTCAATTCTAATACAAAAATTTGTAAAATGAAAATCCGTTGTTTTATAGACTGAAGGAGTAATATAGGATGATATTTAAATGTCATAGCTTATTGGTTACGATTATCAATAGTCCCGTGTATATCTATATATACGAGTATTAAATTCTTAATGTTAATTTGGGTTGTCAAATCTTATCATATAATCATATCATTAATATATATTATTACTATTTTAATGATATCATGGCTATCGATGTTTGAATTCTATGCATTTTCCATGATTAATCACTCTGTAACTCGCCTTAGTTGTACAGTTTTCAAATTGCAATGGAAATGAAGCTTGACAAACATCAATTATCATTACATATTTATTTACAAAATTTATTTTTTGATATTTAAGTTCAGTGTAGTGAATTTTCAAGGTTTTTCCTTTTTACAACATAATTATAATATAACCCCCAACCCCTCCCCAAAAAAACCAAAAAGAAAATAAATAAAAAATAAACAAAACAACAAGACAACAATTTCGAAACTTGGTAGAGGGTAAGGTTTGCACAATAAGTTATCCAATATAAAATGAAAATGGAGATCATGCATTCCTTTGTAAATATCTTTCACACCATTTCATACCTTATTACACTTCACCACCTCAAATTAAAGGCTTTGTAATTGTACATTAAAACATGTAAAGCACCAGATCGAAGATATGTAGTTAAGCTATAAGGTCGAGAAGCTCTCTAATAGAGAGAAAATTTAATTTGCATAACTTTGAATCTGATTGAACCTCTCATTAGCAAAACTGTGTCACGAATCAACTGAGTGCGTTCTTGCTTTTGATTTCAGTAATGGAGTTTTCTGGCGCTCTGATTTTGCTGCCAATCTCATCACTGGCATAGAAATCCTTCTTATGAATGAATGGCGTTTTTCTTCTAGTTTTATTCGCTCTTTGATTTGATTTTCTAACAGCTGAAACACGCAATCAATATTCTCTCCAGTCTTTGCTGATGTTGTAACAAATTTCTCCTCCCAGTCCATGCACACTACAGACTCGTTAACGGCGTGCTCCCCAGTTTGATCACCAAGGTCCGTTTTATTTGCAACAACCACAATGGAATATTTTCCATTTTGTTTATGTTCTTTTATCTCATTCCTTAATGATTTAACAATTTCAAAACTTTCCTCATTTGCGACCGAATAAACGAGCACGAAAGCATCGCCCGTTGCTATTGCAAGTTTGCGCATGGCAGGAAATTCGTGAGACCCGGATGTATCTAGTATATCAATCTCAACTGACATTGTTTCAAACTTCATACTATGACGATGTAGCTCCTCTATCGTTTCTATGTGGTTTTCTGTGAACTTATTGTGAATGAATTGATTAATAATTGAACTTTTGCCCACTCCAGCGGTCCCCATGACAACTACACGGTAATTCTGACTAACGGGTTGCCGCGGTAAAGGCATCACTGAAAAAAGAAATTACAGATTTAAGATTTTGACTGATTTTAATCTGTACGTTTACCGTGTCGTAAATAAATAGTGAACATAGTTTTTTACCATCCATCTTATAAAAGATATAATGATGATATATATATACACCTGATACGTAAATTAAAATTCACTTATACATTCACAACAATTTAAAAGCACCTATGAAAAGCTGTCGAGTTTGAAAACCTATTTTTTAAGATTTAGTCCTGTAACATATTAATAAACCAACAAGTATAAAGGAAACAAATAAATATCAAAAATACACATTTCGAAGATCTAAGTGATGAATATCAAAATCTAACAGCTATAATCCCTAGCGACATTACTGAGAAATGTCCTTATTTATATTAATTAATTAATGCGTTACAAGACCTTTTATTTAGAGTATGTTACTGTAACTAAAAACTCTACCACCCTTGAAATATGATTTCCTTCATAATACTGGGAAAAATACGTACGAAAGAAATAGTGATAAATTAAATATACAATGAGATATCTACATAATACAGTTTTATTTGTTGCTTGTTAAAATTTTAGATTATAACGTTAATTAAATTATTTCAAATGTAATTCTGTAAACTAAAAAATGTAAGTGACACTTCTACACTTTATTTATATAATACTTGCGATGTAAAGCTATATTAATCACTTATATTTAGAGAATACAAAACCAAATATCAGCTTTACGCTGAAATTTACAGGTACAAATTCATTAGCTAATAAATTGTTTTATTCTAGCAATGTCTGATATTGTAGTATTTCAGATCAAATGATCTTTACTCAATGACCTGTCATGGTCACATTTAACACGACCATGATGATGAGACAAAGGGATTCGATGGTAATTGCAATGTATTAGTAAAAGAAAGCGTAAAGGAATCAGTTGTGTTTGGTTTATACAAAATTTATTTTCATACTTTTGTGTATGAAGCTATAGGCATTCATCCAATAGGCATAGTCAAGCAACAAGCAATCAATACTGAGGAAATGCGTGAAAAATTTAAAGCTTTTTGTTCCTTGCCCTGAAAGAGTCTGAATCCTTTCACCAAGAGATCCTTAAATAACTAGCCCGGTGCGTTAAACACTCGGTCATACCGCCACTCAAGCAGTTGTCGATTTAAAAAAATAAATAAAAAAAGTTTTATTTACAGAAGAAAGTGACATGGTTAATTTTTGCCTGCTTTGTTCAAGAATAGTTACAGTGTTCACAGATAACATATTAACATATCAATCAATGTTCTTGCAAGGTATTTATGAATCATGTTTTAAGAAGTTACAATACATGTAGTTATGTCACGACACACCATCATTGTAATCATTACATAATGAATTTCATCTCAAATTGTTCCAACTACGTCAGATTATTACACGCTGCTACATTATCCAACCTTCTTGACAATTAGTCTTATGAGTGTCATAAAGCCTCATTACAATATTATGAATGTTAATCAAATAACATTTGTAATGGTGTCATAAAAACATAATTTTGTTTACACAATGGTGAAAATTTAATGCTTTGCTATTTATTACACTACTAATTTCGGTTTCCATGGAGTAATAACATAAATATGTGTAATACAATAACTGTAAAACAAAGATAGGCGTTTTATTACTTGCATGTATTTCAATTTCAGAGATAGCAGCAAATTCAGTAAATTGTTCATGTGTCCATCTTTGGTAACATACAATTTCTATGATAAGATGATTAACACAAAAGGTCCTTGTAAGTGCACATTTTATATCTTGTTGACAGCACAATTTCAGTCACACACAAACTGGCTGTTAGAGTAACAAATAATCATATAATATCACAATGATGACATCAACAATTTATTTTAAAGTTTCTGGAAGTTAAAATGTATACGCTTTGTATTTTGTTACATTAATCGCATGAAGTGCAAGGCTGCTGATCACCACAATTATAACCCCATGGAAAGAAGAAATGTGTATCATACAAACTTTGAAAACAAAGATCAACTAGGAAGGTCGACATACCTCAACACAACCCGGTAACACTGTAGCAGAGACAATGAGCCCAGCGGAATATCAAAGCTTTAAACAAGCTATGAAAACTCTAATGTAACAATACTAGTTCTACTATCAAATATGATTTCAGAACCACATCAATAAGTGCTACTTTCTAGTTAAATCAACATGCGTGTCATAAGTCCTATAGATTTATTATTGTAATAGTGCAGCCTTTATTCTAACATGCGTCTCATTAACTCTCTTATAGGACCGAGATCAATCATCTAGTCTTCCTCAAAATATGTTATATGTCCTATTACGTTTGTCGTCCGTCTACCACCTGCAGTGGTAGGAACACAAATAGTAAACTCCAATAACAACTCAATCAATGTTATGTATTTCCGTTATCAATTGATGTTAACTATGTTGTGAAGGAGACTTCTTTTATGAAATAAACAAAGAATACAATAAATGAGACAATTCTATGCGTTACATAAGAACTTACAATTTGTATTATCTGAATACAAATTGTGTATTGATTTACGGCAATCTTAGATAATGATAATTTATATCTCTAGAAACTAGTTCGGTATGATATTTAAGCGTACAAAGGTAATCTGAATCCTGTTGTACCTTAAGAAATGAAAAGATAAAACGGTTACTTAATATGGTGTTTAGATACACTTTTTGTTAGAATATATATATTCTGTTTTTGTCGCTGTTTTTCACTTAGTTTGAGATTGGATTTGGTTATTTATCAAAATATTGTTATCATTTAAGGCAATAAGGACGTTAACCATGTTTAGATTTTTTGTATCGTATCTAATATCAATATCAGCACTATTTTATTTTTATATCAGTGCTGATTTTAATGAAATCCTATCAATAATATAAACGGTAGTATGTTATACTAATTATATGATGCGTGCATTCGGTCGCACGCTCGTTTTTTCAACACTTTGTCACGATTCTTATGCTTAGAAAATGATCATTTGCATGAAATTAAATATACAGAGAGTGTTATGTCTTGCTTTATAATGAAACACCAACTAAATACATACACATATGCAGGTAGGCATGCTATAGCCATTAAGGGTGTTAATGTCCCCAAAGTTATTTATCATGACAACTATTGATGTGCGTCGAGACATGCTTTTTCACACTGTTTCTTTCCGGTTTCTTGTAATAATAACGGTGTAGCATTACAGCATTAAGCAACGGTTTTATGCATTATTAAAACATTTTTATCGATATCTAATTAACTAATAACCTTATCTGTCGGCTTAGCCTTGCCGATTAGTTTAAGGAATAAAAGTAACAACATCCGTTAACATTTAATAAACCTGATTATTATGTTTTGATTTCCCGTGACTTTGTTTGATACTTAAATTTTTGAAATAAATGTTTCCATCAAGCGGTTAAATGTGGTTTGTTTTCCCCACAACGACAATAACAACAAAAAAATCAGTTGTATACAAAAAGTATTTATATTTGATTTATTTTTAGATCCCATTTATAGATCTTACACGTTAAATATTTTTGCACTCGTTTTTCCTTTGGATTTCGAGATTTTTCAAATTGAAATTATTAAATATTGAAATTATTAAATATGTAGTCAACGTATTTTGAAGGAACCAATTTACATCTTGATACGATGTTTAGTACGGATTTTAGATTTTAAAATTGCGTGGTTCACAATAAATAATATACTCTATCCCCTTTAAACACAATCGATATAATTATATAAAACTGCCATTAAGGTTAAATTTTAACTCCTTATTTTTGCAGTAAACGACAATTTTATCACAAACATAAACTGCTAAAGGAACTTGTTCGACAAATCATGATAATCTCAGGTGTTATCATTATAAAACTAGATCTGAGAATTTAAACTTACAGACAATTCTGACTGACAATGGTAAATGGCTAGGTTTACATATACTTGGGGAGCATACGCCGCTTTTCATGGAATGGCACTACTGTGTCAAATTGAAGGTTCTATGATAACCGCCGTATAAACACATCTGCGGATGTTTCTTAATTTAAAATTTCACCATTTTCGTGCTTAAATGTTGAATTTTGCTTAAGCCGGTGCTCGGGTGCGTGGACGGTAACTTGCACATTCCAGCACCGTCCAGGCTCAATTAAACCTAGCCTGCAACATTTTCAATTTTTCCTCCGTGTTGGACTTTCTTTAGGAGTTCTGTCTTTCTCTATTTCATATTGAATAAGTTTGAAAGGCCGTTTTTCAAAACAATTGACTCAATATTTAGACTACTTTCTGGAAACACAATTTTTATTCAAACATTGCTTTACGTTTACTTTTCATGTTTGAATAAAGAATTTATGTAGTTGATATTTATTCAACATTTTACATTATTACAGATGTCTTGGATATCTTCACCTGTAAATGTGACAAATACGAAAATGCAAGGCGAAATTTGCAATATTTTTCCTGACATTGTGTTAATGACTCCGCATCTGATACAAGAACGCTGGCTAATTACCTTTTGAGTGATTGCACCATGTAAATGCTTTTAAAGTGTATTTAAGTAAGCATTTAGTGGTGATATTGATCAGATATTACATTTTGCTCAAATTTCAAGGTTCTGTGAGCATTCTTAAAGAAAAATGTTAGACTTTTCGGTTTCTGCAATCTGTCGCAAGTGTATATTAATTGTAATTGTGTCTAAAATACATGTATGATTACGTGTGTTAAATATGGTTTAATAGTTTAAAAAACCAAGTTTTTTTAAGTTACATGAACAAATACAAATAATGACTGGCACGATACAAATAAGATGTGGACAAAGGTTGGATCCAAAAAAATAGCTTATTAAAGCCTTTTCAGAGAAAGCTTACAAGCATGAAAGTGAATGGCAATATACAACGAAGAAAATTGCAGTTCATAGATTTTTTGAATATCTATGAATAATGTGCAGCATAACTTGTCAACTATACAAATCTTTCTCGAGATTAATAGTAGTAATACATTTCACTGCATCAA